AGAGAGAGAGAGAGAGAGAGAGAGAGATCCTTGTAGAACACATTATATTGTTGTGTAAGCCCAGCACTGATGACTTCTGAATTGTCAGCCCCATGATACATGGACAGTAAGAAACTGGTTTCCCTAGCAATGGTTACAAAGCAGTCAGGAAATAAGGAATGCCCTTCTATCTTACTATGATGTTCTTGCATTCTTTTTACAAAATTGTTTATTAGTATATATTAATTTGCATGAAATATTGAATTCATTATGGTATCTACCTATGTACATAAAGTACTTTGGTTGTATCACCACCATTATCCATTCTTATCCATCCTACTCCATTTCTCTTCCCTGACAGCCTCTGATTTATTTGCATGTGTCCTCTAAACTCTATGTATAGAGAAAACATGTTGATGTGAGACTGAGTTATGTGGCTTAACATGGTGATCTCTATTTCTAGCTACTTCCTAAAAGCAACATAATTTTGCTCTTCTTTGTCTGATCAATTGTTTTTGCTCGTTGAATCTATTTAGTTCAAATTGGCTTCAAAACATGACAAGTTATCTGGGTTACAAGTTTGCCAGTGGGAAAACCTGAATATTGGAGCCAATTTCTTTTAAATATACTAACATCTGGATGGCTAAAGAAACACCATATATATAATTAGTGCTTTCTGTAGAAAATGTATCCATACGGTGAAATTAAAAATACATCTTAATTCACCTGGAGCTTATAACTATTGCTTTTTATTACTAATTCATCACGCTTGAGATTTTTTAACAGGACACTGATCTACTGGGGTAGATTTTGTCTTAAATTAAGGAACCTAAATTTTCACTTAGACTTATATAGTGGATGACCTATTTTTATTTTCTATTATTTCAAATTCTTCCCTGAGTTAGACATTTCTTATCCAGACTGAGTATTATATTGTTTAAGTGGAAAAACAAGAAAAAGACAAGAAAGTTGAAGCAAATAATTGAACTAAAATGTTTCTTTGCATGGAAGACACCAGGAGAACACAGCCCACTGAATCAGCTAAGCAGGACTCATATGGTCTCAACACTAAAGTGGTTTTGCACCAGGCTCTCTGTGTATATATTATGGCTGTTAGTTTGGTGTTTCATGGGACTCCGAAAAGTGGATGCAGGTGTGTCTAACTCTTTTGTCTGCTCTTGGGAGTCTTTTCATACTGCTGGGTTGTCCTGTCCAGCATCGGTATGAGGACTTCTGTCTTTATTGTATCTTGTTTTGTTATGTTTGGTTCTTGTCTCTTGGAGGTCTTCTCTTTTATGGAGAGAAACAGAGGGGGATTGGATATAGAGGAGAGGAAATGTAGGGGGACCTGATGGTGTAGAGCAGAGGGAAACTTTGGTCATTATGTATTGTAGGAGAGTCAACAATAAAAATTAATAAAACTTTCTTTGCTAAATAAAAATGATTTAGTCATAAAATGGGTGCATATTCATGGGGAGATGGTTAAACCAAGTGTCCTCCTTTAGCAGTCCCAGTTCCACATTTAGCACGTCATAAAATGGGTGCATATTCATGGGGAGATGGTTAAACCAAGTGTCCTTTAGCAGTCCCAGTTCCACATTTACCATGGCAGTTGGGATCATCCAGTGGCCAGCAGATTTTCTTGGTAAAGGGCATTGCTTATTTCTATGTTATCACATGGATTGCAATGAATTTCTAGGTTTTTTTTCTATTAGATACATGACATTATTTTCCTAAACACTACAGTTCTACTGGGGGAAAATGTGCAGAAGTCTCTTGAGCAACTCTAATTGTTTCTCTGTGTTAATGCAAAACAATTAACTGGTTAAGTATTTAACTCTGGGTTCAAGTGGGTATTTATTAAGCTATGATAATGCTTCAATAAAATATTATGATTTTTTGTGTATCTTCTTAGACATTGTTGAGTAGATTCCTATATGCCCTTATTGTTCTATTTTTCTACCCTTGATTTAGTCACTTCTTTTCTTTGCAACCCAGCAGGAGTCTTTTCTCATCTCATCCCACTGATCAACATACTTATATGTATATGAATCTCAGCTTCATGTAGTGACTCAGGGCCATGAGCCACACATTCTCTTTATGATTTTATTCAAAGAAATCTAATTCCCATAGACCAGATAGCCATAATTAAATACATGTTCTCTACCACCTTCGTTCTTTCTCTCTTCTTACTTAGTGATAACATCATTTAAATTTTGTGAGAAATATTAATAAATTAATAATGCTCAGTAGCAATTTTGATGCTCCTTTCCAGTGAACATATGAGAGAATGCCAAGCTATGTCTGAAAGTTAGGCATATTCATGTTGTTACAATTCAGACATTATGCTGGCCCATCTCCTGTCAGCTGGCATTCAGGCAAATACTTAGTAAGCCCGGGGATCCTACAGCCTTGCATCACTACATCATACACTCCGTGGCTATGACACATGTTGTATAGTTGTGTAAGGCTCTGTATACATGTGCAAAAGGTCCCTTTAAAGCAAGCTTCGCCTGTCCCTCACCTGCCCCCTCTTCATCACTTTCCTTACAATTTAAAAATAATTTTTAAAAGTATAGTCCTTAATCTGAATGTCAATGTGCCCATCTAAAATTCTGATAAATCACACTGTCAAGAAAAGGAAAATAAATACTAAAAAAAAAAACAACTAGCAATCTGAGCTGCAGTTATGCTTGAATTTAGCATTTACTATATTCTTCATTATCATCAAATTATATGCACCCCTCTTTCAGGATTTCTTTAAATGTGAACTTTCTTTTTGTTACAATAACAACACACTAATTTTTCTTCACATAGTACAATTGTAAATTGTATTGTAACTGCTTTCACTCCATTCTCTCTTTTGATAAGTGGGGCTTCTCAAAACTTAATGTTCAATGTAGCCATAAATGTTCCTAGTTTATATGTCCTTCATTCAATGGAACTCCTTATTCTTCCATTGCACATTTGTCAGATTCCCCATAAGCCATATAATAAAGCTTAAATTCCTTAACATGAGATTCAAGATTTTCTACTGTCAACTTGTTAAGATATTCATTTATACCATCATATTGCCCTGAACTGTATGCATTCACATCCATCCTCCTTTGTGGCATGCCTCCTCTTCCTGGAGCTATGGAGAATACTGTTTCATCAGTCACTGTCATTCTCAGTTTTCAAAGCATCTGTTACATTACATTTTGTATGATGAGATTTTCTATATCTTCTAGAATATTTGAATTATCCTTTCCTTCTTTTGATGTCAGAAGAGTATATTTTCAGTACTACTTTATATTCAGATATGGATGTCCTTATCCCATTGGGCCATAAGTCCCAGGAATGGCTTTTTTATTCTTCTGTGTTTGAAAGTTTAATATGCATAGTAGATATTAAGGAAAGGATTATCTAATGAATGAATATATGTAGCTCTGCACCTCAACATTATATCCATATACTAAGTACTATGACATGACAAAAGAAACATCTCATTTAGTTCTTTGCAGCTTTAACCACAGTTAAGAAGACAACATTGGCTCTAAATCAAATCCCCAACTTCTTCATCCTAGACTTGTCATTATTTATTTTAAATATCCTTAATATCCTAATTAAGAGTCCTAATCAGAGTAAGTGAAACAATGTTGTCACTTTAATTGCTTTATTTTGAATACAAAGAAGTCTGATTGCTGCTTAATTAGTTAGATCAGCACTTAATAAAATGTATTTCCCTAAGGGAGCCTTGTAAATATTGCTTTTTAATTGTCTGATCTAAAATCAAACAGTGGGTTTTCCTTAGAAAGCCTCAGCTCTTGTAGTCACTTTCCTCCCTGGCCATTTTAATAAATACACATAATAGTGCTGGTGTTAAGAAACAGAAGCACTACTTGTGCTGGTGTTCCTTGTTATTGTCAGTCAAATGTAAGGCAAATGTCTACACATATGTTTTTCTACAAGCAACATTTGGCCATTTTTAGAATCTGGTTCAAGGAATTGAGAAATGTTTAAACATGAACTTAGCTTATTTAATTTAAAACAATGAAAAATTTAATGTGGAATCATATGTAAGGATAGAAATGGCCTCACAGTATCTTTCTTTGGGATAAACCAGAACTGTTCACACACTTTCCTGTTGCAGTCTTAAGTGAGAATTATTTATTTGGTCACATTTCCAACCATAAGATGAGGACCTGTTGTATTGTACCACTTCTGAGTTTTTAAGAGATTGTGATCAAAAAAGTAAAGAACAAGTGTAACATGAAACAAAATAAAAACAATAAACAAAGAAAACAAAACCCATGCAAACTGATCAATGTCTATAGTCTGCTAGCACTAGAAATATTTTACCATATATACAAGTAAATTATGG